CTTGGGTCTTGTCATAATTTACCTGGATTTAATTTTCTTATGATTCTGTTGAAGCGTCATGTTTAAGATATGGCGGCTCCCAATCACTGTGTAGATGGCCAAATATATCAAGCTTATCTGATAGAATCCAGAAATCATTAGTTCTCGGAGCTACATGCATAAAGCATTATTAGAAGAAATGTCTGCCTAATCAATCATTAATCAGCCTTTCTTGAGGTAAAATAGGTCAATGGTAGCCAACTTGAATGCGGAGGAATGCGAGTGAACTTAAATACTGCTATTTTATTTTCAACCCCTTCCATTTGGTTCGAGCTCGAACTTTTGCTTAGGTTCTTCGTATTAACTGTAAATAAGCTTTGCTGGCCTTCTCTCCAATACTGCAAATTCTCGATGATATCCAAATCCATCAGACTATAACATATATTTTAAGAGAGATACACTGCATCCTTGTCTTTCTAATGGAAAGTAGTCGTTTGCTCCTTGCTCATGTTAGTTGTCTCAGTATATTCTTTTGTTTTATATTAGTCGAAATTTTTAGTTATTTCTCTTAAATTAATTTATTTGAAATCCTTACGTCTTTTTTATTTATACTACTATTCGTCTTAGGGCAATTTGGTATCCTTGTATATTTTCACAACTTGTTCTTGTTATCGGAGAGACCTAGTTCAACGCACCTTTTCCGAAGTCCTCTGTCATTAAAGTTATCATTATTCCCAGCATCAGACCGTGGTACATCATGCTGCTAGGAATTATGATAATTACTATGGCAGAGGACTTCGGACAAGGTGCGTTCAACTAAGTCTCCCTGATAGAGAGATTCAGTTGCGAAAACGAAGTCAACCCATTTCTATAAATCGAGCCTTTGATAGCACGGATACTTCAGCTTCTTTATTGAGCCCCTTAACGTCTAAGCATGTACCGAGTCCAAATTCCGACTCTGGGAATTATAATGCATATTATGGACTCCGGACAAGGTGCGTTCCTCTAGGTCTTCCTGTCAATATGATCAAGTTGCGATAACAAGATCAAACAACCTCTATACAACGAAGGGAGATCGCGACCATACAAAAAACCACACTATCTTGGTCTCTATATCTTCCATTAACCTATTATATTATGTTACATTTATTATTTATGATACTTATTCAAGTAAGACTTTAATTGAACTGATTTAATAGTTGGTCACTTTTCTAATTTTTTGGTGATTTATTTATACCTTTGTTTCCATAACTAATACAATTAAATGATACTTTGATCTACTTTTACCTGATCAGAATAGTGTTAAACCATCTTTTTTATAAGATCAAATATTTGTTTCTATTAACTTTTTATTATTACATTTTATCGCTTAGATCCTTAGTCCAGACTTAATGACCGCAGATCATATCTACCCACCTCTTCCACCCGCAAAACCACCGGAGCTTGCTTTTCAAGATAAACAATTGAGAGCTGTCTTTCTCCGTCTTTTTACATCTTTATTTGCTGGCTATCGTTCATGCTTAACTATCACTCGTATTCATCCCAAACCGGTTATTCATTTCAACAAGGTGATTTACTTTTTTTATGTAAACTCTTAAAAGCGCAGGCGATGCTGATTATCTATAGCCTATTAAACAGCAGCCTTGTGATAATTAGGGATATTATTTTATCTATTGTAACACTTGCTAGCTTTTAAATGTTTTATAATTACTTTTATATGGCCGTCTTAATGTATCCTATTTGAATTATTTGCCCTTGCTGCTTTTCTTTATTTCTTTATTCGGACACTCTTTTTCGTTCACAAACTTTAGGCTCTTTTTCTTCTGCTCCGAGGTATCTGGCATCAGAACGAGTTCTTTGACCGCCTGCTATCCAGCATGCGCTTCTATCAATTTACTCAAGAACGGGGTCCACCATTTCGTGTATGTGATATATTTGATGAGGAGTATGATACAGCTAGATCTGGAGGTCCTCTTTATTCAGATCTTACATCCCAGTTCTCAACGGTGACGGCGACGGTGACTAATGGTATAACAACTCAGCAGAATCAGCCAAATCAGCATTACCAATCACACCTCCAAGTAAGCATATCAACGGCTCCCCAACAGAACCATTCTTTTCTTCCGAGTAATCAGAATCAACTTCAAACTCATGAGTTATCTAACCAGGTGTGAATTATTTAGTATTCATCTCTGTATATGTACATTCACTTAAAAAATTATATAGTTTCTGTCTTATAATGTTACACTCGTTTTGTTATTTATCGAAGTATCGTAATTTTTAGTATGGATGTTCATGCATATAAATGAACTACTGTTTATTCCGTCATATCTAGATTGATTTAAATGATTTGTTTATTTATTTAAGATTTATCATTTATTCTCTCT